TTATTTTTCTTGTTTTTTGGATGATGATTTAGGGTAAGTGAATTCTAGAGTTTATGTTTATCTGAAATTAATTTTGTTATTTTTTATTATGCATAGTGCCTTTTATACACCGTGGGGAACACTTGTAATTACATAGAACAATAATGAGTATTTTGGAAGTGATGATATTTTATGATATGAGTTTGATATTGATAGGTTTGGTTATTTTGACCATGATGAAGAAATTAAGAAAATATGATACGGTGAATGGTTAATCTTTACTATAAGATTCCAAGGTCATATGATTACAAAATCATTCATAATGATCAGGAGGTAATGTAAATGATTGGTTAAGTGAAGACATGCAAGAATTATGTTCATATTCATGTGGAAGCTGGTACGGAAAATGAAGCTTCAATAGAGAAGAAGCTTGCTTGTTCTGAGAATGAGGATGATGATGACAATGATAAGTCTGATGACAATGAGGATGAACATGAAAACTCAGGGAAGAAAGTTGCTTGTTCTGAGAACGAGGATGATGATGACAATGATAAATCTGATGACAATGAGGATGAGCATGAATTCTGGGAGTGGCGGACAATTTACATTTTCTGAGGCATCATTCTGGTGCTTCGAACAGAGTGGCAGATGTCTTGAGCCGTCAGGCGCTTCTTTTGACGGACATGCGTGTCTCCGTAATTAGGTTCAATATTTTGCGAGAGGTTTACGTAGATGATCATTTCTTTGGGCCGATTGTGCGCCACCTCGAGGTGGTGCTTTTGAGGACTACACTATGACCGATGGATTTCTATTCTGTGGGGTGCTCCTATGTATTCTTAATTGCAGTCTCCGACAGCGGCTCATTGTCGATCTCCATGGCACCGGTCACGTGGGCCGCGATCGGTCGGTGGACTTGGTGCGCCGGTCTTACTTTTGGTCGTCACTTAGGAGGAATATGGCACGTTATGTGGAGTGCTGTCAAGTTTGCCATGTCTTGGTCACGTGGGCCCCGATCGGTCGGTGGATTTGGTGCGCTGGTCTTACTTTTGGCCGTCACTTAGGAAGGATGAGGCACGTTATGTGGAGCACTGTCGATTTTGCCATGTTTCGAAGGGGGTTGCCTCGAACGCCGGTTTATACCGCCCTCTTCCCTTCCCGGCCATGGAGCGCGATTAGTATGGACTTCTTGTTGGGTTTACCGCTTACTCAGTGGGGGTTCAACTCCATCTTTTTTTGTCGTGGATCGGTTCTCGAAGATGGTGCACTTCATTCCGTGTAAGTGCATTACTAATGTTGTTCATGTGGTTTTGTTGCTCTTTCGCGAGATCTACTGCCTGCATGGCCTTCCTTCCTCTATTGTCTCGGACCACGAGTCTACTTCTCGTGTAGCTTGTGGCGTATGGCAAATGCATGCCTGGATTTTAGAAGTGTGTATCATTCGCAAACGGATGACCAAACGGAGGTGGTGAATCGTTCGTTGGGGAACTTGCTTCGTTGTTTAGTCGGCGATAACTTTCGGAGTTGGGACTAGCGGCTGAGCCATGCCAAATTCGCGCATAATTTTTCCGTTAGTCGGGCCATCGGGTTTTCACCATTGCAGACGGTTTATGCCGTGCAGCCATGTGATCCATCCCGACTTGCTGGTTTTACCGTCCGCAGCGTCGGACGAAAGGAGCATATTTATAGTTGACCCATGTTGCAGCTCGTGCTCGTTTAGAGGAGACTACGACATCTTACAAGTGTCAGGCGGACGCTCGACGTAGTCATGTGGAGTTCGAGCTAGACGACTTTGTTTGGGCGGTTCTGATAAAGGACAGGTTCTCGGCCCATGAGTATAACAAGTTGTCTGCCCGGAAGATTGGCCCGGTCAAGGTACTTGAGAAGATCAACACAAATTAATGCTTATCGTCTTCGCCTCTCGTTGCACATTCGCACTTATGACGTTTTCAACGTCAAGCATTTGGTGTCTGGTGACAATTCTGACGGAGACGAGACGGATTCGGATTCGCGGCCGAATCCTTCTCAACCAGGAGAGGATGATGGAGGTAAGACTGCGATTGCATTCTTGAATAAATATGATCGGCTTCGTATTTAGTTATTTATTTCCTAGTATTATTTATTCTTTTATTTTATTGCCTTAGTTATTTTATTGATATTGATAAGTAAATATATATCTGGCCTAGCTCATTATAGAATAAGTAGGACTAGAAGAGTTGAGATTCTATATATTGTTTTCTCCTACCCATAAGACTATCAACTATTGAATTGAGATTTTATCAGATAATTTGAGTTCTATCAAGAGAGTTTCTTGTAATTTCTCTTTTGTCTACCACACTCTATATCAACTACGTACTTATTGTATGATTGTACTTATTGTATGATTAATTTTGAACAGAAAACAAATATGTTAGAAAAATAAATAAGACGACAATCGACATTAACTTTAAATTGGCGGGAGGGTGCGGGTGCAAATGTAAAGTATAGGCAAAATTTTATGTAATGCATTACTATATATGACTGTTATTTT